GCCCTGGAGTGGCGCTGAGCAGAGCCAAGTGCACAGACAGGCCTGAGTCTCCAGGAGCACATTTCCTCCTTCCCCTCGCAGCCGCTCCAGCAAGGTCATCCCCAACACCCTGTTGGCAAACCCAGCTTTTTCCTGTCATCTTACTCTGGCACAGCTGACGCTCCCTCTTTGAAATGCCTCCCCAGGCACTGTCATCCAGCAGTGACCTCACTGCCAGCTCCTATACCCAGCCTGTAAATGGTGGCATGCCCCAGGCCTTGTTTCCTGGCCATTACTCCATAAAAGCCCTCTCTTCCAGCAATCTCACTCATTCCTATGGTTTTAAAAATATTTTATTACAAAAAATTTCAGGCAAAAGGAGCGAATAGTATATAGACCTATCAACACTTGCCAACATTTTGCATTCCTGTATGCTAGTGCAGTGGTTAAGAGCTTACAGCAAGCTACAGCTGCTAATCAAAAGGTAGGCAGTTCGAATCCACCAGCCCCTTGGAAACCCTATGGGGCAGTTCTACTCTGTCCTACAGGGTCGCTATGAGTTGGAATTGACTTGATGCCAACAGGTTTTTGTTTTTGTTTTTTGGTTTATATGATGACAATTAGGTCCTTGGATGGGGCAAACAGTTTACATTCAACTACTAACCTAAAGGTTGGCAGTTAGAACCTACCCAGGGGCACTTGTGATCTGCTTCTGGAAAGCCAAGGAAACACTATGGAGCAGTTCTACTCTGTAACACATGAGGTTGCCATGAGTTGGAATTGCCTCAATGGCACAGGTTTGTTTTTCTGGATATACTGTCGTTCTTAATTGCCATCGAGTCAATTCCATGTGTTGCAGACTAGAACTGTGTTCCACAGGGTTTCAAGGCTGTATGTAAGAAGGTCTGGTGGCACAGTGGTTAATGCACTTGACTGCTAATTGAAAGGTCAGCTGTTCGAAACCACCATCGGTTCTTCAGGAGAAAGATGTGGCAGTCTGCTCTCATAAAGATTTACAGACTTGGAAACCCTATGGGGTCACTATGAGTTGGAATCAACTGGGTTTGGTTTTTGGTTGGCTTGACCTTTCAGAAGCAGATCACCAGGCCGGTCCCCCGAGGTGCCTCTGGTTGGGTTCGAACAGTCAACCTTTCAGCTAGTAGTCAAGCACTTAACTATCTGCACCACCCGGGGACTCCTGGATATACCGACAACTCCTGAATCTTTCCTGCAACCCAGACATCTCCTTTGAGTACCAGGTCATATATCCACCTGCCTCCTTGGCGTTTCCACTTGAACAGCTCATAGCCATCTCAAACTCTGACAGGTCCCCTTCCTCTACTCCCTCTGCCCAGGCCTGTTCCACCGTCCCTGCATCACCAGCAAGCTCCCTGCTGGTGTGGTCCTTGTGTGCCTCACTGCTTGATGTTTCCCAACAGTCTCCACAGTGCCCGGCCCATGGAGGCACTCAGATATCTGTGGAACAAACAACTCTCACCAAACGGCATCAGAATCCACCCAGTTGGCCACTGTCTTTGGTTCTGCGCCCTCTCCAAAGTCAGATCTCTTTTAAAAACGTAGGTCAGATCACGTCACACTGCAGTCTAAACCCCTAAATGTCTTTCATGGCTCTTGGAATACCATCCGAGCTCCCTAACATGGCCCACAGGCCTGGCTACCGCTCCTTGCTGCTGTCCTCTGGCCAGGCTTCCCTTCGTACCTGGGCTCCAGCCTCCTGGACTTATCTGGGTTTTCTGTGCACCTGACACCTTCCCACACAGCACTTCCACACGCGCTGACCCTTCAAGTCTCAGCTTAATGCCAGCTTCTAGAAGAGGCCTTCCATGACCTCCTGTGGAAGAGAAACTGCCGACTTCTGTCAGTACCGACCTCAATTCATAAATCTATATGAGTTTTTGTTTGGTTTTTTAAAAATAATATTTTACTGAGCTTTTGGTGAAAGTTTACACAGTAAGTTAGGTTCCCATTTGACAATTTCTGCACAAACTGTTTGGTCACATTAGTTAACATTTATCACAATGTGTCACCATTCTCTTTGTGTTCAGTTTGTTCCCTTTCCAGTACTCTACTTCCCTGCCCCTTTATCTTCTCGTCTTTGCTTTTGAGTAATTGTTGACCTCTTGGTCACTTACTGATGGTTTTTAAGTAAGGCACTGATCTTATGGGTAATATCCTTTATTCTGCGTGCCATTTTCCTATTTTGTGCTCAGTTCTAGGTTTAAAGAGTGTCTCAGGGCAATAGTCCCAAGGGGTCTGTTCTCTCCTGTTCCAGTTTGTCTGTTTTTTTAAGTAAGAATTTGAGTTCTGCTCCATACTTTTTTCCCATTCTATCTAGGACCAACTATTGTGACCCTGGTTAGAATGGTCAGTGATGGTAGCCGGGCACCATCTAGTTCTTCCAGTCACAGGGTAGATGAGGTTGTGGCTTGTATAGACTTCTTTCTTCTCTATACTTTTGGTTACCTTCCTACTGTTTTACTCCTGGCCAGTAGAGACCTATAGTTGTGTCTTAGATGGCCGTTCGCAAACTTTTAAGACCCCAGATGCTACTCACTTCACTAGGATGCAGATCATGATTTTTGTAAACTATGTTATGCCAACTGACTGAGTTGTCCCGAGACTATGGTTCTAAGCTTTCAAACCCAGAAAACCAATCTTGGAAGGTGTGTGGTTATGTCTGAGGAGTATACATATTTGTGTCTTCGATGAATATATGTGTCTGCACCCGCATATCTGTATTTACACATACCTACAGACATGGTCACTGAGTCAGAATTGACTCGACAGCAACGGGTATAGATGCTTCTATCTGTTCATCTACGTACACACCTGTACCTACCTGTATACCAATTTGCCTATATCCATCCATACGTGCTCATTTTTACTTTGGTTGTGCTGAGCTCACTACATCCATTCAGTGCCACTTTTCCCATTACCAAAATAAACTAGTCTCCACAGTATAAGGTGTACTTTCCCCTCTTCTCCCTGGTAACCACTAATGAACATTTGTCTCTCTATATTTATCGATTCTTCTCTTATAAAAGAGGGATCATACAATATTTGTCCTTATATGCTTGACTTATTTCACTTAGCATTATACCCTCCAGGTCCAGCCATGTTAAAGCATGTTTCTCGGACTCATCATTGCTCTTTATGGTTGTGTAGTATTCCACTGTGTGTCTGTATCACAATTTGCTTATCCATTCATTTGCTGATGGGCACTTTGGTTGTTTCCATTTATTTGCTACTGCAAATAAAACAGCAATGAACACAGGTGTGCATATGTCTGTTCATGCTCTATATGGGTTTTTACCTACTCTGTGGGGACCCTTCCTCCTGCGGGCTGTGACCTTGGCTATTTTGTTTATCTTAGCTCCAGAAAACCAAACCAGTTGCCATCAAATTGATTCTGACTCATGGTGACCCCGTGTGTTGCAGAGTAAAGTTGCGCTCCGTAGGGTTTTCACGGCTGTGACCTTTCAGAAGCAGATCACCAGGCCTTTTTTCTGAGGCACCTCTGGGTGGGTTTGAACCGCCAACTTTTCAGTCAGTAGCCAAGCACTTAACCCTTCACACCACCCAGGAACCTCCCTGGCTCCACAGGGCTCCAATTATATTGTATGCACTCAATATCTGATAGAATGACTAAATTAACTGTGCTTAGGTTGAGTCCTATGGAACACTTACAATTAGGACAGACTAGAGGCCATGCCCATTGTTCACATTCAAAAACCAAAGCCCATACTAACTTACTGGCAATTTACTTCCAACAAATCAGCCACTGAAAACCCTATGGAGCACAGTTCTACTCAGACACACACAGGGTCACTATAAATCAGAATAAACTCTATGGCAACTGGTTCTTTGGTTTAGGAGACAAGAGGAGTCCCTGGGTGGGACAATCAGTTAATGTACTCGGAAAAGTTGGAGGTTCAAATCCACCCAGAGGTGCCTCGGAGGAAAGGCCTGGCGATCTACTTCTGAAAAATCAGCCACTGAAAACCCTATGGAGCACAGTTCTACTCTGACACACATGGGTCACCATGAGTCGGAATCGACTTGACAGCACCAGGTTATACTCTCTAGAGGCTCATCATTTATTTTAAAGGAAAGGTAATATTTAAACAACCCAAAGTGGCCAGAAAACCAAACCCGTTGCTTTTCAGTTGATTCTGACTCATAGCAACCGTACAGGACAGAATAAAACTGCCCCTAAAGAGTTTCCAAGGCTATAAACCTTTACAGCAGCTGGTGCGTTTGAACAACCGACCCTGAGGTTAGCAGCTGAGCGCTTAACCATTGCGCCACCAGGGCTCCTTACCCAAAGTGAAGGAGAAAGCAAATCCACGGACAAGTTAGTATGGGCTTTGGTTTCTGAATGTGAAAAATGGACATGGAACGTCAAGGTGATGGATTCAGGAAACCGAACGTCGACTCCAAAGAGGTCAGAAACAGAAGTTTAAACATGACCCATGCTTAAATATTTGGCGCTGTTAACTGTAAATACTTTTTCATCCACGGCCTGCTTTAAAAATCCAGTCAGAGACTCTGTTCGCAGTGCTGAGACTTCCTGTCCCCACCACCCTTCACCGGAGACGATGCGTTACTTATTTTGTGCCCACGACCACCCGAGCGTTAAACATCATGAGCACTGCCGTTTTGCAGTCGCAGACACCGAGCTCCCTTGGGACGCCGGGCGGACTGAGCGCAAGGCCCAGGCTTCGCCGCGCTGCGGACCGCCGGGTCAAGGTCCACAGGCCGGGCTGCACGGCTAGCGGACGTGGCCGCACGGCTAGCGGACGTAGCCTCCTGCCCAGCGGCAGGCCTTCCCAGCGAGGGCGGGGTTGCGCCGCCAGTCTTCGCCGTGACCTTGAGCCCGCCGGCGGGAAAGAGCCCTGGCCCTAGCCGCGCAACCCGGGCGGCCTTGCCCCAGGGGCGCCAGGACCCCCGCCCCACCGCTGCCCCTCCCCGCTGCCCCCGGAAAGGGCGGTGCTGCTTACCGGAGCCCAGGCAGGAGGCTGCAAGGGCTGACCCGCTGCAGGAGACCCCCGACCGACACCGCTCCGCGGGCGCGCAGCACTCGCGCCGCCATCTTGCTCGGGCGCTGAGCTCCCACCGCCCGGTCGCCGCCGTGACGCC